TATCACTAAGTCTAAAATAATATAACAGATCATTAAATTATGTGTTTATTTCTGTTTCTTAACACGTTATTTTTTAATATTAATCCAAATTAATTTGTTAATTTTGGCAGCATTTGACACCAAAATGGGGGATCTGCCCCAATTGAGTATGATTACAGACTTTTAAGTGTATATAATCACATATATGATAAGAATAAGTTGATTATATTTTATTTAAATTAAAAAAAGTAATACATTTTTTAAAGTAAATTATTAATAAGACTAAGGAAATAAAAAATCCAACCAGCTTGTCCCCTTTTGTCTTGTGTTTTGGTTTGAAGATTATACTTAGTATATACATAGTCAATCAATGATCAAACTAGGATCACTACACATTATAATCAATCAAAACAGCCAAAAATATTCCTCCTGTACAACTCACTCAAAGACCCTTGAAAAACCACTGCTATCCCTGTCAAGTCCTGTCTACAACTTTCCACCTTTCAAAGAGTACTGCCATTCAACACCTGTCCACAGACGTCATTTGAATCATACACACACCATGCTGCCCCTATGCAGCACATTCTACCAGTTTAAACACTGATAGAATACATGCTGTTAGGCTTCACTGTACATTATGGGGAGGAATGTGGTTCCTGCCTGGAACACCGAGTGTTTTGAGCTCCGTCGGCGCGTTCTCTCCCGCTCAGCCCACATGACAGCCTCCCGCCCCCTCATTGGCTGTTTTGAAAGGCATCGCTTGCGCTCATTGGTCTGTTTTGAACTGCTGCTGTACTGCGGTCAATTCAAAAGAGTCTGTGAGCATTCCAGCGGCAGTCTGTGCACGGACAGTACATCCTTACGAAGCGAGGCACAGTCAGGTAATTATTATTCCATTTTACACAGGCTGAAATATGACTTTGTGATTTGTCAGGTTAGTTGAAAATGTAAACCATTCAATCTAGACAGAAAGTAGGTCCGCTTAAACTTAATTGAAAGTGGCTTTGTCGATTTAGCAATTGCTAAGCTAACGTTGGTGACCTTAACTTACTCGCCTAGCATGAAGAAAACGGCAAGTTTAACGGCTCGGTAACTAGTTTAACGTTATATCATTGCCGTCTTTTAACGTTACAGTCCTAGACTAAATGAAAACACTAATGTTGGTTAACAGTAAACCGCTGGTGTAAAAACCAGATCAAATCTCTGACGTTAGCTTACATTCAGCATTACTTAGGCAGCTTTAACGTGGATTTGCTTTAGGTGTTACAGTTCGAAATACCAACTTAACGCTCGTAGGTTGGTTAGGTTATCGCGAAAGCCAATAATACATTGCTGTAAATGGTAGAATTAACATTTAGTTACACACTGTACTTAACTAACGTTACGTTAATTCATACTGTTAATTGTGTCTACGCAAGTTACGTTAGCCATCCCCAGCCTTACTACTTTTTAGGCCACATTTGATATTGTAAGTAAAACGGGCACTTCCATGTTAGATAAAATGTCCCAGTAATCATAACTAAGTCTGTAATGTAAAGGTAAGCATTAACTGAAGCTACTGGAAAGTAATGATAGGTGTTGAAATATCTTTGACATGACGGCATGCGTGTTTTTCTTTCAGGCAATAATGGAAGACTACTTGAAAATAGAGAAAATCGGAGAAGGTTGGTCTTAATGTTTTCTTCTAGCTAACGTTATATTCTTCAAACCAATGCTGCCCAAATTCTAACAGGTTTAAGCTTTATGGAAGTAAAGTTACACTGTAAAATGACTCTGAGCATCCTCGTACTGTAATAATAGGTACTTTAATAAAGAATAAAGTTTATTCAGGGTCAGTTTGGCTACTGTATATGATAGGGCCCCTGTCAAATCGTATGTACAACTTTCCTCTTAGGTCGGACCTCTCAGAGAGTACTGCTGTTCAGCACTTGTCCACCAGGCATCATTTTAAGATAAATACACAATTCTGGATGTACACATACACCCAGATCACATATTTGTGTTCAGGCAGTTTACATTCAACAAGCTACCCTGCAGCTACAATGTAATCATGCATCACTGGTCTGTGTGTAGGAAACAATGTTTAGATAGCCTTCATGTACCTTTCCACTACCTTCCCTCATCCCCATGACAACCGACTTGACCCAACCCCAGAGCTGTAAAAAATAAAATAATATAAAAATGATATTCTGTCTTGTTCAGGTGGGTTATTGGACTTCTACATTCCTTCAGGGCTATTTAGATTCTTTCAGAGTTAATGTTCTTCTAGTCTTCAGGTTGCAATCTGTACATTAGGAGCCACAAACCACAGCAGAAACAACAGAAGCTAAAGCCAGTTTAAACACTTCTGATTAATGGGTTTAAGATTCAATGTTTTTTTTTTGTCTACATTATTCAAACAAATGTCTATAAATATTAAGCTGCTCAAATTATGGCAGCTTTGGGCTTTTTGGAAGAAAAGTTACATTGTTAAATTATTAATGAATTAGCTTATTAAAGTTATTAGTTATGTCATTAATGTCATCTGAAATAAACAGCTCATTATTAATTTAGGAAAGTTACAATGTATTTGCATAATGAGCACCAGTTCCCCTATCTCCTGATGGTGTGTGATACTTTAAATTACGTCTCATGGCACAAATCCAGCCAATAAATAGTTCCAGCCATTAAAACTACAAGTGATTATGATAGTAAGGCACGTGTGAGATATGACAAAGTACACCTCTGGGGTCTGTAGGTACCCAGTAGTAGGACGGGGGTTAATATGATTAGAATTACTTTGTTAACTTGTCCTTGCAGGTACCTATGGGGTGGTGTATAAGGGCAGGCACAAGGCCACCGGGCAGGTTGTGGCTATGAAGAAAATCCGTCTGGAGAGTGAAGAGGAGGGGGTTCCCAGCACTGCTGTCAGAGAGGTTTCTCTGCTTCAGGAACTGAAGCACCCCAATGTTGTACGGTACGTCGGCTTCGTGTGTGAGAGTAGAGCGTGTGTAAGTTACAGAATGAGGTGTGAGATTAGCAACATGAGGTATTCCAGCTTATAAAATACTAATTGTATGTGCAGAGAACAGTTGCATTACATCCCAGTGAGACAGGCCCCCAAATAAAATAACAGCAGTGCTAAGATCAAAAAGTGATTACGGGTATGGTTGTTATTCTAGTGGCATATGTGGATTCTGAGCGGTATGTCACTGCCAGTTTTTTACTGGCTAATGGCACTAAAACAGTTGGCCATATTTGTTTATTTATTTATTTTTTAGTCTTGCTGGTAAAATGTGTTTTTTGTATTGATCATGTTGCAACAACTTTAAAAAAAAAAAAAAAAAAACATGACACACGACATGCATGGAACCAATACTGATTTTCCTTTATATCCTTTGTACTTTTACTTTTTTTTTTTTTTTTTTTTGCTAGTAGGAATTAAAAATGGGTCTTAAATTGCTTTCACGATAGTCTTAAAGTCTTTAATGTGTTGAAAGCCTGTAAAATACCACTTCACCCTGACGTATCAATGGTAACATTCAGCTTAGAATTGATATGCCACTAGATTAGAACAATGGTGTCATTACTTGTGTATCTCAACATTTCCTCGGTTAATCAGTTGGTTGTTTGGTCCA